CTCCTCAGTATGTTTGTTTCACTGTTTGCATCTCCGTATCTGGTGTCGCTTCTCCGGAATAATCTCTCATTATCATCATAGATGCCTTGAGAACTGATTTCAATTTTGTAGGGTTTTTTGTTTTGTTTTGTTTTTTACAGTAGGAGTACACAGGTATTTAGAAGTGCTTTAAGTTTATGATTTTGGCTGCCCTAGAAAGAAATCCATTGTAAGAGTGACCTACACTGTGTCCCCCACAACAGAACTGGGCACTGGGGACACACTAATGGACAGAAAGAAAAGCACTTCCTGTCCTCACAGAGCTCACACACTGGGCCATTTCTGGCCAAGAGGCTTGGCCATACTCATACCTGTCATAGAAAAAGGTCACATTCCTTTCATGACCCTAAATCACGATCTCCTTTCTGGTGGATGGACCACGCTCAGTCACTGAGATTGTCCACAGGTTATGCCTGAGTCTTCTGACTTCCTTGTCTTCAGAGAAAATCTCAGTCCCAGGCAGAAAGAATGCCAAGCTCAGAGTCCTGTTGTCATCACACATAACCCGTCCAGACTTTTCAATTCCTGCCTCCCCCCGCCAGACCTGGCATGAGCCCTAGAATATTCCCATGTCAGTAGAGGGTCCATGTTGCAGTAGAGAGAGCCCAGTTTTAGAGTTAGAGAGAACTGGTCTGAATCCAGGTTCCAGAACTTCAGAGCAACGTGGCCTTCAGCAAGTGTCCTAATTTCTGCAAGCCTCCGTTTCCCTCCTCGGTAACATGGAGACAGTAATCCTCATGTGGCAGGCTGGCCCTGAGAATCAGGGGGCACACAGCAGGTGCTCAAGTCTTGTTTGTGTTCCCAGGAATACCAGTGGAGGGTTTCTGAGCATCGATCCTACCGCCCCGGCCTGGGAGGGCACACTCACACCAGCGAATGGAAGTGACGAGGACCATCTTCCAAGTAACAACGTGGAAATCCTGATCGTGACTTTGCTGACCTTCACCTTTGCCCTGGGCGGGCTGGTGGGAAACGTGACCGTGCTCTGGCTGCTGGGCTGCCGCATGCAGAGGAACGCTTTCTCCGTCTACATCCTCAACCTGGCAGGAGCTGACTTCCTCTTCCTCTCCTCCCAGGTTGTATATGCCCTGGAGGCGCTCATCAACTTCCATTCGGTGTACTTTTCCATCCCCAGATTTTTCACCACCATGTGGACCTTCGCCTACATCGCGAGCGTGAGCATTCTCAGCGCCATCAGCACCGAGCGCTGCCTGTCGGTCCTTTGTCCCATCTGGTACCGCTGCCACCGCCCAAGACACACGTCAACTGTGACGTGTGGCCTGCTCTGGGCCCTCTCCCTGCTGCTGAGCATCCTGGAAGGGGAGTACTGTGGCTTCCTGTTTAGGGATTTTGACCCTGGATTGTGTCTGGCGTTTGATTTCGTCACGGCCGCCTGGCTGATTTTCTTATTTGTGCTTCTCTCTGGGTCCAGCCTGGCCCTGCTGACCAGACTGCTGTGGGGCTCCCAGCGGATGCAGCTGACCAGGCTGTATGTGACTGTGGGGCTCACAGTGTTGGCCTTCCTCTTCTGCGGCCTGCCCTACGGCATTCACTGGTTTCTGGTATTCTGGATTCAGCAGGGTTTTGATGAGTCCCTCTGGTATCTTTATCTGGCTGCGCTCACCCTGTCCTGTGTCAACAGCTGTGCCAACCCCATCATTTACTTCTTTGTTGGCTCCTTCAGGCAGCGGTGGCCCCGGCAGCGGAAGACCCTCAGGATGGTTCTCCAGAGGGCCCTGCAGGACGCATCGGGAGGGGATGAAAGCGAAGTCCGCCTGCCTCAGGAAACTCTGCGATGTCGGGAAACAGTCTGGCGCCCTGATTCGGCGTCTGCCTCAGTCACAGAAATGTGGCTTTGAGAACCAACTCTGTCCCTATCGGTTGGAGAGGTTTTCTTCACTTCTCTCGGCCTTGGGGCCCCTGACCTTCAAACCCTAAAGTTGTAAGATAAGCCTTACGGTTAAGATAATATCCTCCCTCGTGAGGACTGCGGCGGTACCTGTGAAACAAACACTGACTGTCGCGCCTCAGGGACTGCCTTCCCCAGGGCCTTCGCTCCACCCCAACTCTACCAACTCCGGGGTGCCCTTTAGGAGAACCCCACCTTCAGCACAGGCTGAAAGCAGCGCAGGACGGTCTAAATTCGTTTGGGCGCTGCACTTGGGAGGGACTGGAAGAACATTCCATTCTGTGGTCACCCTCCTGCATCCTGTCTCCATAAATTTGAAAGAATTAAAGAGCAGGCTAGCCTCGGAGAGCAGTCTTCTTTGATTTTGGTAGGGCCTAGAATATGTCCCTACCTTAATGTTTCTTGAATCCAAGACTTAACGAACGAATAAATGACGATTTTTTAAACCAAGCCTGTGCTAAACACCCGTTTCCCAGAATTGAGTCACCATCCGTGAGTTTTTCCTTCGCCATTTTCAGTCTGTGCGAGCAAAGTTAAGTTTTATAACTGGATAAATCGACGTTGAAGCATGCTTAAGGTTTGAGGCAGGTCGTCTTGCTATGATTTCCTGTCCCAAGCCCTCCTGCGGAACCTCATAGGGGTCCCTTCTCACTCCTGCTGCACCCCCACCCAAGTGCTCTCGCCCTGGTTCTCCCTCCCGGGAGCTCTCCGATCCTTCGTGGCAAAACGTCTAGAACACTAGACTCTTCTCTAGTCCTCGGAGAACAGGATCTTTGTCAGATTTAGTTCTTATTCCGCAGAGCTCCCAACGTTAGTTGTATAAATCTGATTACAAATACCTCTAAAGTTACACGTGCTATAAAAACAATATATTAAGTTCAAATGTTGCATCTTTTAATAATTTTTTACTTTTTTAATTGAGGTGCAATCAGGGGAGAGTGATTGCACAGATCACAAGTGCACAGTTCAGTGAGCTTTGGCAATGGTATACCCACGTGACTCGATCCCCAAGCGAAACATAACACATTTTCATCACCTCTGAAAGTTCCCTCATGTCCCTGTTACATACTCCTCCTGCCCCAGAGGCAATCTTTATTCCTATTTCTTTTTTTGTTTTTTGTTTTTTGTTTTTTTTATTCCTATTTCTGTCACCAAAGATTAGTTTTACCTGATCTTCGGCTTCACATACTTAGGATCATTCAATGTACTCTTCTGTTCCTATCTTGTATCACTCAGCGTAATATTTTTAGGATGTACCCAGGCCACGGCAATTGCATATATCAGCAGTCTTTTTGCTAAACCTGAGCGCTATCTCATCGTGTGAGTGCACCGGTTTATTTTCATACGGATAGATATCTATGTAGTATTCTATCACTGGCTATTTTGAATAAAGCTACCGTGAACATTCTTATTCACATCTCTTTCTGAATATATGTTTTTATTTCCCTCGGATAAGTAACCTGAAGTGAATTTGCTGGGTCACAGAAAGATGTCTGCTTGACTCTGAAGAAATGCCAAGCTCCTTTCTCAAGTGGTTATGCTATTGCACATTCCCACCAGCGATGTCTGAAAGTGCCAGTTTTTCCAGATCCTTCTTCACAAACACTGCCAGTCTTTTGAATTTTAGTCATTCTAATGAGTATAAAGTGGTATCTCGTGGTGTTTTAATTTGCATTTCCAAAGTGACTTGTGAAATTGGCATCTTTTCCTGTGCTTGTTGGCTACTTGTATTTTTTTTTGAAGTGTCTAAGTTTTGCCCGTTTTTATTAAGTGTTTCCCTTTCTCTGTTATTTATTTGTAGGAGTTTGTATACATGTTGCATGAGTCTTTCCTTAGGTGAGTTATAAATATTCATCCTGTTGGTGGTTTGCCTATTGATTTTTATTTTTAAAATTTTTTTAATGTTTATTTATTTTTGAAAGACGGAGACAGAAAGAGAGGGAGAGTGTGAGCGGGGGAGGACCAGAGAGAGAGGGAGACACAGAATCTGAAGCAGGCTCCAGGCTCTGAGCTCTGAGCTGTCAGCACAGAGCCCAAAGCAGGGCCCAAACCCACGAACTGTGAGAACATGACCTGAGCCGAAGTTGGACGCTTAACCAACTGAGCCACCCAGGCGCCCCTCGCCTATTTATTTTTAAATAGTTTTGTACTGTAGAGCGCTTTTAGATTTATGGGAAATTTTCACAGGAAGTACAGAGGGTTCCTGTCTACTCTCTCTCCCCATCCCCATTCCTCCCGCCCACAGGTTCTCCTATTACTAATGTCTTCCATTAATGTGGTACATTTTTTAAAATTGATGCACTAATATTGATACATTATTATAAACTGAAGTCCATAGTTTACTTTAGGGTTCCCTCTGTGTGGTATATATAGCTCAATGGATTTGACAAATGCAGATTATCACACATCTATCATAATAGTATCATATAGAGCAGTGTGTCTGCCCCAGAAATGAATACGTAGGTGTAGGGTCTGTTGTTGTTTCTTTTTTGACTTTTATTTGCATGTATTTTATGCAGAATTTACTCCCAGGCCATAAGTTTTAGTTTCTCCGGTTTCTTCTGTGATATCTTTTTCTTCTGTGCAACTTCCTCTTCTGGTTTAGGACCACTCTGCTCTTTTTCTGTAAGGATCATCTCAATGTGGCAGGGAGAGCTCACGTGTGGGTTAATCTGACCGTGAGCCCTGTAAGTTCTGTGCCGCATCTTGGGGGCCTTGTTCACCCGGATGTGCTCCATGACCAGAGAATCTACATGTAAACCCTTAAGTTCAGCCTTACTCTCTGCATTTTTAAGCACGTGCAGTAAAAATGCAGCACTCTTTTTGGGCCACCGACCCTGTGCCCAGCCCCACTGTTTGGCCTGGACACACCTACCAACTCCACCATTGTAGCGTTGTAACATTGCTTCTGCAAAGTGACGTCTTTCAGAGACGTGGTGACTTTTCGGATATGCCTACCCTTGAAGGCCTGGGCAGTTTCACGTGTGTTCTTAAAGTGAACATGAAGGCTTGAACCTCTTGATTGGCATGATTTTGTGGGGGTTCCTGGGTCAGGTGAAGAGCGAACAATTTTCAGATATCATCTCAGGCCACTTATGGGAAGAGCTATTATTACTATTATTATTTATCCTGGTTTGGGTTCTCTGTGCTACCTGGATCTGTGGTTTGGTGCCCGCAAATAATCTGGAAAGCTCTTCGCCATTATTACTGCATATATATCTTCTGTTCCTTTCTCTCTTCTTTTGATATTCCTATTCTATGTATTTTTTACCTCTTGTAATCATCCTACAGCTCTTGACCTTTCTGTTCCCTTTTTTTTTTTTCAGTCTTTCTCTTTGATTTTCAGTTTAGGACGTTCCTATTAACTTATCTTGAGGCTCACTGGTTCTTTCTGGAGTTTTATTTATTTACCTATTTATTTGTTTCAAGGGTAGAGTTTAGTGATTCATCACTTACGTATAACACCCAGTGCTCATCCCGACAAATGCTCTCCTTAATGCCCATCACCCATTTTCTCTACCCCACCCCCATCTCTGTCAACCCTCAGTTTGTTCTCTGTATTTAAGAGTCTCTTATGGTTTGCCTCCCTCTCTGTTTTTATCTTATTTTTCCTTCCCGTCCCTTATGTTCATCTGTTTTGTTTCTTAAATTCCACATATGAGAGAGATCATATGATATTTATCTTTCTCTGAGTGACTTATTTCGCTTAGCATAATACACTCTAGTTCCATCCATATTGTGAGGCCCACGGATTCTTTGAAAAGCTATAGCTAGTCCAGTCAAAGGCATTCTTCACTTATGTTATAACGTTTTTATTTTTAGCATTTCCTCCTCCTTATAGTCTTCATCTGCACTTGCTTTTTGTCCACTCTGTCCGCTAGATTCCTTAACCTATTAATCACAGCTATTTTAAATTCCCAGCCTTCTAATTCCAAATCGTCAGCCATATCCTGAATTCTTTACATCTTATATAAGGAATCGGTTGATCCTATTGTTAATACTGACAGGTTACAAGACAGAAGTAATACTTTACAAATCAAATCTATAACTGGGACACCTGGGTGGCTCAGTGGGTTAAGTGTCTGACTTGGGCTCAGGTTGTGATCTCGCAGTTCGTGAGTTCAAGCCCCATATCTGCTCTATGCAAACAGCTCAGAGCCTGGAGCCTGCTTCGGATTCTGTGTCTCCCTCTCTCTCTGCCCCCCATCCTGGCTCATTCTCTCCCTCCCTCTCTCAAAAATAAATAAACGTTAGAATCTAAAAACACAAAAACAAAAACAAACCCCAGATCAAATCTATGACTGAAAAGAGTCTAGAAACAAAACTGAAACAAGTTATTGCTTCTGAAGGAGAGGGCTCGGGAAGACTTACTATTCACTTGGTCCACTTCTATGTCAATTGGAAAGAAAATGTAAACCTGCGTGCATTACTCCTAGGACAATGAAAGAGCGTGGGGCAGGCCATGGAGGGCCTTGAATGACAAGTAAGGAGGATGTCTTTATTCTTAGCTATAAAGCCTCCCAGCGCAGGCTCACATTGCTTGGCATGGCTCCCTACCCACACAGCTGGCAGCCAGAGGCTACAGAACACCACTCCTCTGCAGGCATGGGCAGCAGACAGGGTGGGGACAAGCAGAGGTTGAGAGAGAGGGGAGTAGACTCAACTCAAATGGCGAGAAACATCTCGTGAGGGGTCACGACTCAGAGAACCCCACACTCTCACACGCCAGCAGATCCCCGCACAGGAGGTCACAGGGGCCGTCCAGCATCTCGATAAGCCTTGCTCCCGCACCAGGCTTCACCACCGCCACCGCTGCCGCCAGCAGCTCCCCAGGGCAAAGAAGCGTCCTGTGGCGACAGTCAATCACAGGACAGTACAGGGCAGCTTGTCACCTCCAGCCGAAAGAATGGAGGAAAGACGCCTTCATCAAGTATTTCTTTCCAGAGCCACTGTTGGCTTTTTCCTCTTCTTGCTCACACATGTACCTGATCTGGAAGAGCAGTATTCGGGAAGCCACAGGGGCTCCAGCAGGAAAAGACAGGAGGCATGAAGCACCTTCTGGCACCTTCTGGCCACTCTCAGGGCTGGCAGCCTTGACCGTGGAAGTCCGAATTGCTAATCCACATTGTTCCCCTCGGTAGACCCTTGTCCCATTCTCGCCTCCTTCCCTACCATTCAGATTGTGCTGTCATGGTGAGAAATCTGTTGCTTTCCTTAATTTAGGGAGCAAGATTGGGAACACGCACGCATCCCAAAGCTAAAGTGCTGTGAATAACCTAGTCATCTGTTTGACTTGCTTTTTGAAACTTATTTTCCTTTCAGTATCTCTCAGGATGCCAGCAGAAAACAGATGGCCTAAAATGGGATAATTCAGAAGAGTTTAATTAAGGGACACTTTATCAATATGGGCAGATTTAGAGGAAATTACATGGGATGGTGACCGATACCCC